GCGGTTACGCCGATGGCGACGGCGACGCTGACGCCCATGGCGACGCCGACGCCGCTCAAGCCAGAAATGGGCCCCTAAGAGCTGCGCTCTAAAACGACTCCGCCTGCTTTTCTCCTCGCCACGCAAAACGCAGCGCATGCGCACTCGCGACCAATCTCCGCAGGGGGCGATCGCCATTGAATTGAAAATGCTAACCATGGTTTGAGATGGATCCCCCTATACGATCTAGGCAACCCTAATGCTTCTTTTATACGTAAACACCGTCCTCAAGAATAGTACGAGCGTCCGAGTTGTTAATTTTGCGGATGCGGAGACTTCAATTTGTCTCGCTTACTTTTGGCCACCCTTAGAGTTAGTAATTACTTTTGTTTTGTATCAGAAATGCCCCATGTGCGTTCTCAATTATTTAGTACATTCCCCTTTTTTCTCACAAAAACAAGGAGAACACGCCAAGGCGAGAATATTTTTATGAGACTCTGTGCTGCCGGAGCGCGTGACACCAAAAAGGTTTATGTCCTTTGTAAACAACAACAACAACAACAACAACAAAATGTTTACAAATATTGCTGAGCACCATTTGGGGCTAAAGATAGGCAAAACATGAATTCGCTTTCAGCTTCTCGTGTTTTCTGTTTCAGAAATCACTGCAGAAACTTGACATCTTCGACCCGGGGCTTGAAAACGCTGTAACGTGTATTTTCAACCGGCTCGTACTAACAATGGACCTTTTCCGAGAAGCGTTCTGCGCACGCGCGAGCGTCCGATGCCAAGCGGCGGAAGTCGGGACGAAAAATCGAGGAAGTTCGGAAGGAGGCTGCATATCAGCGAGTAGAACACGTAACTGCAGCATATATATAATTGTGTTACACAAAAAAAGAACGTCGACGGAAAGGAAAACACGACGTTTGGGTGGACGCCACGGATGCCCCTCTTTCAAGTCGCGTTGGGCAGGCGCCGCTGCTCAGAGAGCGAAGAAACTGGTAGCGCAGCTCCCATTATCGATTGGTAGCGCAGGTAGGACACTTCCTCGATTTTTAGTTCGTGCACCCACCGCCTGGTGCCGTCGGTATGTGGAAAAGGTCCATTGTTCATCCTAGGCGTCCGTAGCGGTTCAAAACTTCGAACCTGGACATCGAAGAGAATTTCCGTCCTCGCACTATACGGGTAGTAATTGAAGGAGAGGAGGAGATGAGAGAGCACGGGGACGTCAGAAGGCCGAGCTCTGACTGTAGTCACTTACTTGATAGACGCAAAGCGAGCCGCCTTTGTCTCCACTCACTGCTTGAACGCGTTAGAATGCGTACACTGAACGCCGGACGCAGGCGTGCGGCAGTCGAACGCATTCGAAAAGTGAGTAGAGACGAAGGCAAGTAGCGTTGAAACTACCAAAATATAAATCACACCAGAGATCGCCGTTCTGATGTCCCCTGCAACTCTAGTCTCTCCATCTACCTCAGTATGTGGTCACATAAACAGCTTGCGAAATTATCCTAGCGCCGAAGATACCGCTAGGAACCTAAACACATTAGTTGTACGCGCTTGACTTGCTTCTATGAAAGGAGCTAAGTAACTTCGCTAAAACAAGGCGTTGACGAGTTCAGGCGAAATAGGATTCTTTTTTTCATACGCTTGTTCTACAAAAGTTGCCGTTGCAGACGCCAGCACTTGCAGTGGGTGTACCCACGCAGCGCGCTCCTTGGCGGCTGGGGAATTTAGAAAAAAAGGTCCATTGTATAACAAATGCCAGCCCGGTCCTCGCTGTAGGAGATATAGACACATGGCACGGCGAACGCTGGGACACGATCGAACGGATAAAATCTTATTGGCGTGAGCCCGAGTAGCCTCCGCCGACAGCGTGTCTCTCGTCCAGACGGTGCAACTGACGTAAAAAAAAAAAAAAAAACAAAAAAAAAACAACACAAGCGCCTTGTGCTGTAGTCTCCTTTATTCTTCAGAGCCTGTCAATTCTCAGACTGAGTCATATAGCGCCCTGCCGGCGAAAAAAAGCGAGGAGCATCACCGAACGGTTCCTGATATGGTAGCGCAGAGCCACTTGTGGGACTTCCCAGTGGGGTTTTGGTCTCCCTCCAGCCAGCGCCACGTGGCGGCCTGCGGCATCTCCGCGAAACACATCTGCGTTTCGGTGCTTGCATTACCTCGGAGATCCTATTCCACACCAAGTAGCGGTCAGCGCGGGGTTACGTTAATCGCCGAAGGCTCCAGGCACAAAAAATTTACCTTTCAAACAAAAAAAAAAATTGTTATGGTGTAAGGATAGCTTTTTCTATACTGACAAAGCCTGGCAGATCGCCACGAGACGCGGCCGTTTAAAGTGAAAAGGTAATGCGGCAGACGAAAAATGAGAAGAGGTGGGAGAGGAGGCATGTAATGGGCGCCAAGCTGCAGCGAGACGCCAAAACGCACTTCTCCCGAGTGATGGAATGTACGCTGGTGCTTCTCGTGTTCTTCACGCTACCGCTTCTTTTCTCGCCGGGTTTGAAAACCATGTTTCGGGTCCTCGCCGCTGCAGAAGCTGCGCCCTGAATACCAGAAATGCTCTCTGCTACCAGATCCTCGCGCTTGAAATCTGCGACCGAGCACTCCATGGCTTCGTCGTCGAACTGCCAGGATCTGTAAGTATTCACGATTGCAAGCTGGGCGACTGGCCGCCGCCATGTCTCTGCTCGAGCAGGCACGCCCGTGCGACTACGAGCTTGCCAAAGCTACGTTGACACGCGCGTTGCACGCGCTTGCACGCATGGGGTACCACTTGTGGCGCCATGCTTGCAATTGTCTATAGAGAAGGCTATGGTTTAGAATTCTACTGTAGCGGCAGTTTTGGCGCTGCCCAGCCAATGTCACAAGCACGAGAGCTTGAGTGCCGCTTTGACGCGTTCTTCCGCAGACCGAGCACTCGCGCTAGAAACGCACGCCTCAAAGCCGGGAGCGCGGGCTAGCTCGCGTTTGTAGCTTTGCCTGCAGTCTCAGCTTGAGGGAGAATAGAGTAAAGGCGGAGTTGCCCCTGTCCGCGTCCTCTTCCTTGTTCCTCCCTTTCCCTCTACAAAGGTTAGATTTTTTTTTTTTTTTGTGTGTGTGATCTGACAGACGTGTTGCATATAAAGGAGGTTATGCTCGTGCCCGTGGCACCCGGGCGCGTGCTCTTTCCGTTTTGAGTGTCTGCTCTGACCTTGGCGGACGCTGGCTTGAACATCATGACAGAGATCTTTCAGCTTCAACACGCTCATGAAACTCTTATGACGCCGTTGAGGCACAAACTAAGGTCAACGACGGAGTAGTGTCTAAGCAACACGGTCAGAGCAAGTGGCAAGCTATACGTAACGTGGCACTTAAAAAAGAAAAAAAAAACTATTTTGAAATCAAGCATGTCTGCCATAGAAAAGCAAGGGAACTAGGTCCGCGTCAAGCTGCCATTATCCGCATATCCAGGAACAATCTTGTGGAGCCGCTTGCAAACAATGCGAGGAGAGCACTTTATCTGGCAACTGCGACGCGTGAGAAGTGCACGCTTTTTAATAGCTTACACCAGGGGTGGCCAAGCTGCGTCTCGCGAGCCGCATGCAGCCCTTCGCGTGTTAAAGTGCGACTCGCGGTTCCCTCCCCTAACCCCCCCCCTCCCCCCCCCCCCCCACACACACACACACACACACTCCCCCGCCTCCCTCCCGCGGCCACACGAGCACTTCCACAAAAAGAGAAATGGAACGCGTTTTAAATCGAAAGAGAGGTTGCGGTTTGGTAGTCTTCTGCTACTGCTACCTTACGTACAGTAAGACTGCTTTTGATTCGGATAAATTGAAAGTACTTTGAGTTTCGTTTATTGCTCTAAACAAGAGTCCGACCCCCCTTCCCCCGTGTCTCTTGGTGGTTTCGTGGTTATGTTTGCAGCTCTCAGGCTGGGTTAGTCTGGCCACCCCTGGCTTACACCGTACTCGATCACGACGGACCGTGACTACTTGAACCCGACCAAACATGCAAAGTAAGAAATAAAATAAAAACAGTTTTTACACTTATTTTGAAGTCTCCGAATGGAATTCACGTTTCTCGTTCATGTACCTTCCGTCAGAGTTCTGTTTTTTCATACTACGTGATAGAGAGCTACTTCACATCACACACAATATCCTGCCATACTGTCATTTCAATCCCATTTTATATTATTTGTAGCTCTGGTCGAAAGCTCTCTCAACTGCATGCAGCTAAGTTGCAGCAGCGCTCACAGAGGGTGAGCTGCTTCATATTATATATTAATCAAGGTAGAGGGCGTCTGTGTACATGGAATATGCACGTCAAGAGCACAGTTTTATTTCATGACAATACATTATCATTTTATTGCGCTGCTCTTGTTCATGCATGAGAATAATTTGAGGGACTAGAATTACATATGTCAAATGTAGGGCACAGCCATTTATCGACGAACTTGGGTCAATGCATCAAACTATAATGCTTTTGAAGAATGAAGAACATTCGCGATTAAATAAAGGTTTCATAAATAGGTTGTGGCGTCCTGGCGTCCCGTACGAAGGTGCATACTCATTCATTTCCTAGTGTCGACAACAAAAACAGCGAGGAAGTTATTTAATTTCCTGGTATCATTGTTTGTGCGTTTCAGACTGAAGAAATTTTTAACCGACGAACTCTTTCGCTATAAATAGGTCCGAAACTCAACAGAAAAAAATGTATCCTAGTTTACGTACACACACATAGAAAATAACTGCCTAACTCAAATTGAGGCAGCCAACAATAGAAAACGCCAGTAGCAATCAAACTCCGTTATCCGCACATCTGTGTTTTTCTTGGCCTTTATGGGCAAACAAGAGGCTTTATGTACTTTCCGGATTGAAGAAAGCAGCGACTTTCAAGAGCCGTCTCGATTTTACAAAAGTAAGTTAACTGTTCCTTGAGGCTGTCAAATCGATAAAGATGTTTTCTTTACTTAGCTCACAGACGCAATAACAGGTTCCAGCGACAAGCAGACTTCTACAATGGCTCTCACCTGGACGTTGCTGCTGCTAACGTTCACCCTCACTACATCAGCTAGCGAACGATGCTTTCGCGTAGACTACGAAAACAATGTCTTCCTGAAGGACGATGAACCTTTTCAGTTTGTTTCTGGGTCGTTTCACTACTTTCGAGTGCTCAAGGACAGTTGGAAGGACCGGCTGATCAAGATGAAGAACGGCGGCCTGAACGTCGTGCAGACGTACGTGGAGTGGAGTGGCCACGAACCAGAACCGCAGCAGTACAACTTCGAGGGAAACTACGACATCGAGACATTCCTGAAGCTAGCCCAGGAAGTAGGACTCTTTGTCGTCCTCAGACCAGGACCTTACATTAGCGCTGAGAGAGACAATGGAGGTCTACCTTACTGGCTCTTGAGGGAAAATCCGAGGATGGTCTACCGTTCTTTCGACCCAACTTTCATGCTCCCTGTCGACCGCTGGTTCCACTATTTCTTGCCCATGATTCAGGATTACATGTACCACAACGGTGGGCCCATCATAATGGTACAAGTCGAAAACGAATATGGCGAATACAAGGAATGCGACTGCAGGTACATGGAACATCTTGTCTACATATTTCTTCAGCATTTGGGAACGGATACGGTGCTGTACCGTCAGGACTATCCTCTCGAAGAGAACTACATATGCGACGAGGCGCGGCAGACATTTGTCTCTGGTAGCTTTAAATACAATGAAACTATTGCTGACGTTTTTGACATTATGAACAAGAGTCAAGGAAATGAAGGGCCCATGTTAGTGTCCGAGTATTATCCTGGGGGCTGGCAGTCTCACTGGGGCTGGGAAGAGGTGACGTTTCCAGAAGATAAGGTTATCGCGAAGTTAGAAGAAATGCTTTCGAAAAAGGCGTCGGTGAATTTCTACATGTACGTCGGAGGCACCAACTTTGGCTTCACCAACGGAAACAGACCACCGCCTCTTGTCACTAGCTACGACTACGGATCTCCAATTTCAGAATGTGGCGATACGCGTCCAATATACCACACGCTTCGGCAAAGTATTAACAAATTCCTACCGCTACCAGAGTACATCGTTATTGATCCTGAACCCCGGTTGAACCTAGGCTCAGTGACTTTGAGCGAGAGCCTTGACCTTGTCAATGTCTTAAGTCGCTTTAGAAGATCAGGACGAATCGAGTCACGCAAAGCTAAACAACCCTTGACATTTGAAGACATCGGACAGTGTTGCGGATACGTTGTGTACTCGACTGTCATAAACTTCGATCCAGATGAATCGGCGAAGCTTTCTGTACCGGGACTCAAGGACCGCGGCTACTTGCTCACAAAAACCGGCGTCTTTGTCATGAGTTCTGAAGATAAGGTATTTGAAGTTGAAATGGCGCTCAAGAGAGGAGACTCCTTATCGATTGTCGTCGAGAACGAAGGCAGGATCAACCGAGGAAGGGAGAACCACGATCCGAAGGTGAGAATCTATTAAAAAAGTTAAACAGCAGCGATTGCACACACACAAAAAAAAAGATATGGGCAAGCTTTATCTAAAGGGGCCATGAAACGAATTTTGGGCTGGTATAAATGATTTTAAAGTGGGGCTTTACTAATCGCATATCGTTTAGTTGGCCAAAAAAAGAGGGTGGAAAGTCAAAAGCCAGCTTTTCGCTACGAACATCTGAAGATATAGAGGACTATTTTGTACCTTATTTCCTTCGAAAGCTCTACGCCTTTTCACTGTGGTGCATCCGCGGTTCTCAAAGCGCGTCAGCTGTGCCAACCTGACGTCAGCCGAGCCCAGCTCACGCATTGGACACGAGAACTGCGTCACTCGGACGTATGCGCTCGTCAACAATAAATCCGTCGACGAATATTCGGATTCGCGTTCGTGGCCAATGTGGCCTGATGGAACTTATTGTCACTGGGAAGGAGAAGGGCTATGGTATGCATAAAAAGCACGGTGGAAGGTGGGAGTCATCGCACCGGTGCCAAAGAGTGTCACGACCACGTGATTTCACAACTCGCATTTGAGTTGAGGATTAAAGCCACGGAGGAAGATGTAGGAAAATCGTTTCATGACCCCTTTAATGATTGCTTCGTGTTACTACTGTCCTTAAAGGAGCTGTGCAACTATTTTAACGTTGAAAGAATTGGCATCTTCTGCTTTTAATATTGTTCACCTTGTCACAAATGACAGAAAACACACCTGCTTTCATCGAAATGTTGCGATTCCGCCGCGTAATAGCGAGGCAAAACTTAGAATATTCCCCGACCTGCAGCCGCGAGCGGCGACCATGAGAAACACGCGGCGTGACGTCACTGGGGAATCTTGTAGAAAGATAGCAAGTTGTGCGAATACCTGCTCGATAAAAGGTAACTTTTCTATAAATCTTGTCTTTCCAACCTATATATAAATGCGTCAAAAACCTGGTATCATCGACAAAACTTTTATTATACGGAGTTTTAGTGGCGCCATCTTTGCTAGGTACACAAAACTATCAGTTCCATCTGCTACCGTAAGCAGCCTCCAGAAGCCGGAGGGGGAGGGGGAGAGAGCCTAACCTAACGCCCCTGGATATTTTTTTTCGTTTTTACGCAGTGAAAATCATCGAGGGACTTTAGCCTAACCTCCTTGAGAGAGCCGGACGGGTATGGCAAGGTATGGCCGGACCCGGATGAGACTTTCCTCCTTTCACCACATTGTTCGCGCTGCGCCCGCCAGCACGTCGTCACGCGGTCGCGAACGGAGGAATTCTCGCTGCTCACTGATGGCTCTAAAGAGAGAACTTTTCCGGAACCCCGCGCCTACCTCCTAGACGTCACTGCGCACGTGACCCGGAAGACGACGTACGAGTTGAGAGGCGGAAAAAACCTGGATCCTTTTCATTTTTTTAAATAAACACTAGGGTATCCAGGCAAAATCTGTTTTTTGTAGTTCACTTCAGAATTGTCAGGCATCAACTTCCACAATAATTTAAGCAAAGCCCTGAAATTGTTGCACAGCTCCTTTAATGGTATGCCACGTTCTTTACAAGTGGTAAAACCGCAAACGAACTATGAAGCAAATTACGAGATATAACAACCTAGAATCATTTGAATAAACGCAGCGTTTAAGTAAGATACAAAGCTTGGCAACCTAGCTTATTATTTTGGCGGAGTCGTTTAACAAGGCGTCCGTTGTCACTTTCATGTTTCCTGTAGACTTGTTTTCAGGTTCATTACCCGAGTGGAACCCTCCACTACGGCGTGCCTTGTTTGAAACGTATTCTTGGGAAGATTTTAAAGTCTTCGGGTTAATTTGCCTGCTTCCTTGGCTCAGTGACGCGCTTAAAGTGGTACGGAAGAAAATTTTAGCGCCTATTTTTTTGTGTAGACGAGGTCTCAATATCGATAGCGGCTCACACATACCAGTCTTTTGTCAGTAAACGCAAGAGAAGCAATTTTACAACGAATAACACCATTTCCTAATACCACCTGCTGGTTGAGGGGCCGAGATTCGTCGGAATGTCCACGTCACGGATGGATGGATGGATGAATACGGCTGAGCCCTTTGGATCGGGCGGTAGCTTACGCCACCTAGCCATTTTGTTTTACCATTTAAGCTTATAACATTTAAATGTGAAACCTATATTCACTCCGCAGTGCAAAGAAAGTGAGGCTATGAAACCCCCTTGCCATCAGTGAATAAGAAAATACCTAGTTTTCTCTCGATTTCTGCCACCATTCACTTAATCTTTGCTTGGTAATCTCTACAGTCTTAAGATACACTCTCCCTTCGCTGTCTCTAAAACCCAATGACTTTATTAAATCTATGTTGTCTTCGGTAGGCATAGCGTGAAGCCCTTTACAGTAGAGTATCAAGTGCTCAGCCGTGTCATCCTCCTCTCCACAAGCAGTGCACACTGTATCCATTTCCTGGTACTTCACTCTGTATGTTCTGGTTCGCAGAACACCCGTCCTCGCCTCAAACAGCAATGAGCTTCCCCTAGAATTGTCATAAATGCTTTCTTTGGCACGGGCCCACCAGGAGAAGCGCCACCACGCGGCGTTTCCGACGGGGGCCCCCGGCAACGGGCGGCGCTTTGGCACGCCTCTGAGTTCTAGTACACCATACCTCGGGTATACCCCCTTGGCGGGGCTTTAACACCTTGATGATAAAGCTGGCGCCACCTAGTGACGACGATGGTAATTACGGTACCGTTGGCCGTTCACGGGCCCGTGACTTTGCGAGCGTGACGTCACGGGCAAATATACCCAGACCCAGACGCATCGCGCTGCCTCAATATCCGATTTTGAAGCGCTCGCCAGTATCCGTCGGTTGGGACGAAAAATATGGCCATACGTTGAAAATACAAGCGTGTGTTTATCATATACGGATATCATAGATCATATTCTACCTGTTTCGAACTGTTCCATGGATATTTCAGGTTTCGATTTTGTACCCCCTATAGGTTCCCAACTACCAGAAAAAAATCAGTGACCGAGATTCTCGCTGTTGTACAAAGCTAGTATTGAGGTATGGGCGTCTTCTAGCAGATTTGAGCTGCACTCTAGGGATCCTTACGATGTTCAATATTTATTTCGAGTACTTTCCATCTTTCCATCTTAAGTCGAACCGCTCTCAAAACCTAGAGGACACGCAAACTCATGCGCTCGAGGCTAAAGGAATAAGGTCACAACACAAGCTGTGCTTGATTGAATAACAATATAATGAAAAGGTGGGCTAGTTGTTGCATTCTGCGAAAACAAATGCTCCATAGAACGTGACCAAGAAATCTTTTTCTGACTCGCCATTTTGTTTCCGTTCGCTTGCGCTCTTATTTTCCCTCGATTGAATGAGGCGGAGGTAAAACAAGTACAAGCAGGCAGGCGGAGAATTCAGTGACGTTTCGCTTTCAGCGGTGTTTCATAGAAGATCTCAGTTCATTGTATCTGTTGTACTCTGACTTAAGGGCCCTGCAAAGCGCTTCTGGTCATATTTTTTTTTTAAATTTTAGCGCGTTCGTTTGAGCTATTGTGTTAGACTCTAGAAGAAGAAGTCTTATGTATTTTGAACATAATGAGTGAAAGAAGTTAAGAATTTTTAGCACATTTTTATTGTTAATGTCGTCATCGGTCTGCTCAACAGAGAACCGAAACGACAAGAGCGTGCAACATCCATCCACGATCGTTCTAATTGTTGGAACTGACATCCAGTTATGAAGATGTGAGTGTTCCAGCGATACGGGCTTTCCAAGCAAACATTTGAGCGAGATTCACGCGACTGAAAGGATCAGAAGGGGTCATTTCCGTCTATTCAGCCAGTCCTGCCTCTAGAATTCTAAGTCGTCATTATCCAACGCTCTAGACCAATTTCGCCACCGAACGCCCTTGTTTGACACTGACAGGTGCGCCCTTCATAGCAGCCATTGGTTTTCTTTGTCCCTTTGCTGTGCCCCTTTTAGGTTAAATGAAATTGGGTACAATAGTAAGATTTAGACAAAATCCTATTTCGATTTTTTCGTTCGCCACTAAACCATATACTAATTAAAACCTATGTCAAAGAAAAACAAAGACTCATACAAAAAAAATTACATTGGTTTCCAGCGGGATGATTGTTGCGAACAGTTCTAATGGCTTTCTTATATTAATGTCTCGGTTTCAGTTTCAAGGTTTCCATAAAGTTATGACCGAACGCATTAAAGGGATGCTGAACCAAACATTTCAGGCTCTATAATAAGTGGCGCACGATCTTTCCACAAGCCAACAGCCGCCGGTGTGCGCGAACACACGCAACGAAATTGACGTCATCATTTCCCCCATTTAAGCTTATTAATGCCTGAATCTCCTTTCACGTCTTCGAGCGACGGTAGCAAAGGGTGAAAAAAGGGGACTAAAAAAGTCGGACATGAGTGCGCTCGCGCCGTTCGGATGGTGGGGTGGTTCATTGTGCGATCACGAGAATGGAGATATGCCAGCGAACAGGGTGCTCCCACCATAGACACGTCACAATCTGTGCGCCGGAGGATTACCGGAGGATTAGCCAGGACCAGAAAACGAGAGCCATGTTTGTTTTTCGCAATTCGCGGTGCGTCTTCGCTGGGTGCCTCTTTGATCAGCTCCATTTTTAAAACTATGGGAATTGACGTCTTTTTTAATACAACTAGTGCCCCTGTCGAAAGCCCTTATCGGTATGCATTGGTATGAAAATTTGAGGGGCCACAAGGATGGAAAAGTGAAAGAGCTCTTTTGTACGAACTGCGTGGCGAAAGTTAAGCTGCAGATAAGCCACCATCTGTATAAAGGATACAAGGGGGAACTCAATCACTCACAGACCACTGCATCGGAAGCAGGATCTATCTCCCCCTTCTTGGGAGGGAGTGGCTTATTTCGGTCGAACGCGCAATCACGTGTTTTCATTTTCACAACTTCCGAACTAGCATCTGCGTGGGGCTGTGCATGCGCAGACGGTATTTTCTAAAACTGGATACTTCTGCGATAAAATAAAAT